AGACACAAAGTCTGTCAGATGTGTTACAGTCCTTCAAATAGCCTAACAATAATCTTGAGGTTTATAATTTTTTCCCATTTTAATGGTTACATAGATTTCCACTTTGTGTAACCCACTTAGCTCTTATCTTTACACAGCGACACATCATCATCATTAATCACTGTGGAGATAAAACACAGTGAAAGGTATTTCTAAATATCCTATCTAAAGTCAGTCCAGGGTAATGCTATGCTGTAAAGCACCTCTGTGACTACCTAAGATTTCAAGTCATTTTTTTCACAGGGTAAGCTGCTTGAACACAAGTATATTGGGAAAAGTAACACATACCATGTTACTACATGCACTAATTCCAGCCATAAAAAATACACAGGTAATTTATCTAGTCGTAATGGCAATACCAAACACCAGTCAATTACAGAAAAATAACTCAGAAGCTATCTAAGATGTCATAAGCCATGCAGATTAGAAAAAGCTCCACTGCAGTACTGAAAGAAATTTGCTTTTGATTACTCCAATAACCTTGGCTGGTTACATAATAACAGCATTGCTTCTCCTTCCACTGTTTAAGCATATTATCCAGATTTTCCCTCTCTGTCAGCAGGAGATATCCACAAGAAAGTTAAATCTCAGTGTGTAATACAAGTGCATTTAATGTACTTACTGACCCACATCACTGTGGCACAGTACACTGAGAGCTGAGTCAAACCTGTCACTCACACACCACCTGAAATGCAACTGCATCAAACAGGACCCAGAAGACACACAGACCTCACAAAACCTGAAGGTACCAGGCTGAGAATAACTGTGACAGCCAACTAAAGAAGGAAGATGAAAACTGGGAGGAGACAACTGGACTTGGCTCTAACTCAATGCAGTCAGCATTCCCAAAATTTGCATTAGCTTCCTGATCAGCTTTATCTCCCTCCAACCTGTACAGTCCAGTTACCTATAAAAATTCCATAAAACATTACCGTAAAAAAACGAAACAGCACTGTATAAATGGATATAAAACTTTAATTGAGAATAGGATCTGCTTAACAGCTTGAAGCAGTCACAAGTGAAGGGCTGAAAGCTCCAGTACCCTATCAGAGTAGATGCAAAAAACAAATTTCATGAGGAAGGATCGAGACAACTAAAACAGAGAATGAGCCAAACAAGCTACTCAGCATTACTGACACTGGGACCTTCTGGCAGAGGTGAAACACACAAAAAGGAAGTAAGATTTTTTTTATTCTAACCACCTAAATAGTCCAGAATTAAACAGAATTAAAAGCCTTGCTTTGAAAATTCCGTAGCCTTAAAATGCACTTGTAAGAAAGACAGATACAAATAAGATTCTAAAAGCATTTCCCCTGTCAGTTTTGCTCCACATACATTAAAAGACTGAGAACCAAAAAAGTTATAATTGTTCTTTATTTATTCATGAGATTAAAAAAAGCCTTACTACATAAATCTTCATACAATATCATCATGCAGGATATAACGTTTCATTTACATTAAATATGTATATGCTTCTTCAATTAGCATGTCTAGGAATAATTACCTAAATATTAAAAAAAAAAAAGCATTCCTGATGCCCTTCCACTGCTATCGATACCTCCATTTGCTCTGGTGGTTGGTGTATGTGACACTACACAACAGTGTCTTATAAACACCAAAGTTTTCAGATGCTTCACTTTCCTTTCACGTGTGCATTTCAACTGATATACCTTTTATTTCTGCGATCCTGGAATTCAAAAGCAAGATGTTTTTCTTCACTGCAGTTAAATGAACTTTGTTCGAAAGGGACTTGACTTTTGCTTTTTTAAAGACAGAGATGAAGTCTGACAATGTTACAATATCTTAAATACCAGAACAGTAACCTTGAGAGGATGCAGTGTATTAAACTGCCCTGAACTAAAGCCAATACTTGCAAATGGTAACATCACATGAAAAGCAGAACATGAATTAACATAGGGAATAAACAAGTTTGAATGTGCACGAGGGAAAATAGTATAGTACAAAAAGAAGAGTATAAGTACAGATTGTTTAAATCATTTTGGCCTATAAGAAACCACTTGGAAGAACATTGGGACAAGAAGAGAAACCGATACAGGAGTTTTAAAGTAATATACACATTAATTCCTTTCACATAAACTGTTTCTGTGATGTACAGACACAACACATAACTTTTTCTAAAAATTCCATTAGGGGTGGCCATGTTTTCTGTAATGAAAAAAAAACTCAAAACATTTTGCTCTGAAGATCAAACTATCCAGTATTTCTATCCTTCAGCATATAGAAATCTCACTGGGCAGCAGAAAGGAAGATGGGAGATGATTCAATACCAAGCAGCTTGTCCTTCAAATGCTGTTTAGTCATTACCTTTACTACAGACAGCAGAGGCAATAATGCCTTTGTTTAGGTCACCTAACACTCTTCCTGACTAAAAGATTCCTACAGTGTCTTCTCAGGCTGCAGCCTCTCTGCTGTTTGCCTCATGCCTTTAATTTCTGGCAATGGGATATACTTGAGGTCTGCAAATATTATTCACTTGTGCCACAGAATTTTACTCTTTGTAGAATTACAAACAACTGAACAATATTCTCTTCCTTAGTAGTCAAGGGATGCAAATACCTTCCCTTATTGCAGGTTTGTTTGCTACAGCTTGTCTGGGCACAGAGTCTTGAAGTGCTGGACACACCAAATGTCCTTCCTCTCTTTTCACTGCCATCCTAGCAATTCCCTCAGCACTGGAGGATCCTCCAGATCAAAACCCAGATGCTGCCAGAGAATTACAAGTTTAGGAAGGGGAACAGTGGCTACAGTCACTGTTGGTTGCTGGGGCAGCACCCTTTTGGGGGGGGACAGCACCCTTTTTGGGGGGACAGCACCCTTTTGGGGGGGGGACAGCACCCTTTGTGGGGGACAAGCACCCTTTGGGAGGACAGCACCCTTTCGGGGGACAGCACCCTTTTGGGGGACAGCACCCTTTGGGAGACAGCACCCTTTTGGAGGCAGCACCCTTTGGGAGGACAGCACCCTTTTGGGGGGCAGCACCCTTTTTGGGAGGACAGCACCCTTTTGGGGGAGGCAGCACCCTTTGGGGGAGGCAGCACCCTTTTGGGGAGGCAGCACCCTTTTGGGGGCAGCACCCTTTTGGGGGGGCAGCACCCTTTTGGGGGGGGGACAGCACCCTTTTTGGGGGGGGGCAGCACTTTGGAACACAGTAATGCTAGTAGCTGTTGGGCTTGCTAAAAAATTGGTAAGTTAAGTCCCACAAAATAAAAGTCTCATTCTCTGCTGCAACAGATCCAAATGCCATCCATACTGCTGTCTGTAAAACACACCACACACAGTCCTTCACACCACATCATACATGATCTCCTAGCAGACGATTCAAATAAAATAACTAATTTGGCTAAGACCACTCTACACTGCCTTGTTTGGGCATTAGTGTTCAAAGGCCAAGGCTTGACCACAAGTGATTAGATCTGCTTGTGCCTGTCCATGGTCTACAACACGACCCATTTGATATCATCTTTAATTACACCTCATGCTGCCTTTTCTATGGATTCCCAACCTCACAGGGTGAAAAAAAGATGATGTACTGGTCTATAGAACAAGTGAATGTTTTTTGCAACATTTGCCTCTGAAATTAGAAAGAATAAACTAGAAAAAACACAAAAATGTCTAGGAAGAGTGCAAGTCAATATTGGGCAGAATTCCTTCTGCTTTAGAGAAGAGGTGGGGAAAAAAAGTCACAAATATGAATTCTGAGTACTGTTTTTCTCCATTCTCTTCCATGTGAAACGTGAAAAAAATGGAGACTCGATCTAGAAGAGATTGGGTGCTCAACTGCAGCAGGAGAAGCCGTGAGTGCTGAGTACAAGGAAAAGGGCAAAGAACAGCAAACACAGGCGTTCCCATCTCCCTCCTCGGCTCCTCACGCTGCGTTACCTCAAAGAAATCAAAGTCTCAGATTCATCTTCCCACTCCATAAATTTGGGACAATAATATAATAAAACTTCCTTATCTCCCAAAGAACTGTAAAGTCACTACAGTGACTTAGGATGAGCGGGAAATTAATTCCCTCTTACGTCCCAGGTTTAGATGGTTTAGCATCCACAAGGCAGAGGCTCCATACCGGATAATTAAGGTAAAAGTATAATGAGCAGCTACGTAAGACCTAATCACCACTCACCTCGAGCCTCGTGCCCAGAAGAGGTCATGTGAAAAAACAGCAGCCAGACCCACCCTAACATCTACACGTGGAGCCAAGAGCCAAGGTCACGACCACCAGCCCCGGCCACAACATCTGGTGCCGAGAGACTTGATCCCATGCCAGGTGTAAGTTACTCCACACACAGCAGCAGCCTCCACCACATCTCACACACCCTTTTTGCCCTCGGAAATCAAGAGTTACGTTCGCCGAGCAACGAGGAGGGAGCTTAACTGGGAGCCGTGCCTGTACAAGGGCTCCGAGCGAGGCGTTCACGCTCGATACCAGCTCAACCAGTTTGCTGCCCGGGATGGGCAGCACCAGCACGGGCAGGCCCAGGCACCGCTGCAAAAGAGGTTCATAAATCGCTCCCTCCCCGCTCTGCACTTCGGGGCACAGCCGAGCTGCCGCCCGCCCTCCCCGGCAGCACCGCCGGCGGCCGGGGAAACCGCGGCGGCACAAAAGCCACCTCACGGCAAACACCTCCCGCACCACAAAGGGGAAGGAAAGGGTTCGCCGGGAGCCCCGGGCGAGCCCTGCTCGGTGTCCCTGCCGGAGCGGCCGCCCGGCACCCCCGCGGTCCCGCCGGGCACAGCCCGCCCCATCTCTGCGAGATGGCGGCCGGACCCTCGGCACCTGCCGGGCTCGCCGGGCAGCGACCCCCGCCCGCCGCCCGCGGGGCTCCGGCAGCGCCGGGGCGGGAAGGGACGGGACGGCGCCGGGGGAAGCCGCGGGATGCGGGCGGGCGGGCGAGCCGCCGTCCCGCAGCAGCTCTCGGTGCCGCGGACCCGTCCCTTACCTGTGGCCCGCGGGTGGCTGCGCGCAGCCCCCGGCTCCGCCATCTTCCCGCCGGTGCTGGTGCCGCCGCCGCGTCCCGCCGGGGCTCCGCTCGGCTCCGCGGCGCCCCGCGGCCGCACAGGCGCAGTGCCCGCCCCCGGCACCTGACACGGCGGGGAGGAGCGGGCCGGGGCCGCCTGCGCGGCCGGGGGCGGCTCCGGGGCCGCCAGGTGCTGCCGCCGCCCCGCCCCGCCGAGCCGCGGGGGCCGCTCGGGCGGCGCGGCCGAGCCCGGCCCGCGGTGACGGGGATCGTTCCATCGGGGTGTCCCCGAGAGCCCAGCAGCGCGTGCCCTCCGGCTTCCCCAGGGGGTTCCGCCGGTTTCCCATTTTTTTCCAGCCAGGTGGTTGCGTCCGCTGTTTGCAGCCGCGTGGGGCCTCGGAGGAATCGGTGGCACCGTGTCCTTCTCGTCCAGCGGCGCCCCGGTGCCCCCCACGGGCGGCCCTGCGGGCCGGGCTGCCCCTGCAGCGGCAGGACCGCTTTGTACTCGGTGCTAGAAGAGCTGAAATAAAGAAACATCATCTGTGTTGCTCCTCGTCGCTTACATTCTGATGGTGGTAGAACCCACCTTTAACACACACACCTTACCCATTTATTTTGCTCCCACCTTGCTGTTCTTGCTGCTTCTGGACCATGTTGGGACACAGCAGAGAGAAGAACACATAGAGCTCCGGGGCTTGGGGCAGCTCCCATCATGCTGCCCCAAAAACATCAGGACTGGTAGTAGATGCCAAACACCCCATTGACTCATCTTCACTGCCAGTTTACCAAAATTTAAAGGAAAGACATATTTAATCCTCCCGCTTTCCGCTTTTATTCCTTTTGTTCTCTTCTTTTTGCCAAGCAATTATATTCTTTACCTGAAAATACAAACCATAGTCAATATAAGGGGATGGACAAGGAAAGTATTTGCTGACTGGGGTTTTTTTGGAAAGCATCTGCTTTGGTGTTCCTCATGTGTCTCCACTATTTCTTATTAACTGCAGATTACTCTATTGGGACACCAAACAACATTTCATCTTCCATCTATACATTCAAGTGATGTCCTTGGGTTCATATACCTCAGTAAAAGTTTAATTACACAGATTTAGATTTTCTGGTGTGTCTAGTAACAGTTATTCCTACTGTTGTCTTATCAATTAAATAATTAATTTTGTTTGTAGCTCTGCCAAATTGATGTTTTTATGCAAGCTCTTTCTTTGGTTAACCTTCCATCAAGAAGCTCTACTTAAAATTATTCTACCTACCTAAAGATTAAATTATACAGTTTTGCTCACGTTACAGAAGAAAAACTCTACCTGTCTTAAAGTGGCTGTGCCTCCTGATTTCCTGGGGCACCTTTGGCAACAAATCCAAAAGAAGGAAGACTCTCCTGTAATCTTAATTAATCTTTAGCCTATTGCTGTCTGACAAAGACACAGGAAAGAACAGCTGGTCTCAGTGCAAGTTACATGGGCTTAGTGATGAGGGGAAGGAAACAGAGAGGAGGAATTTCCAGGACTGGGAAATAGGAAAGCAGGGAATGGATGTGAGGGATATGAAGGGGCAGGAAAAGATGGGAGTATAGCCAGAAGCTGGAGAAAGGGATATGAGGGTATCTGCAGGGAGGGTCCTCAGGCAGTAACCAGGTGGAGAGGGATGGATGGGACTGCTGGAGAATCTGCCCTGCTGAGCCAGTGCTGGCTCTGAAGTGGTCATGGAGCCCGTAAGCGTAGCATCTCACACGGAGAAATAAGTATTCTCCTACAGCTGTAATTTCCTCTGATAGCTGGTTCACAGCATTCAGACTGGGAGACATGCAGTGGGAAAAAAAAAAAAAGGTTTTAAAGAAAACTTAAGGAAACTATACAGAAAACATTAAATCTCCGAAGACAAAAACCTCCCCCAGAGTATTTTATGTAGTATATGATATGAGCCAGTTTTTAAATTGCCTTTGCAGAGTGGTTTTTTCCACAAGACTCCTGCCTCATTCAGTGCAAAGGATGTGTTTAATTAATGTATAGTCCTTCAACGTTTCTCTTCATTTTCATCATGTAAAGTGGAATCTTTCATGTCATATCCACTGTACATTCTTCAAACCCTGCCTTGAAGGCAGATTAATTAATTTCCATGATGACTTTCCTGTGGTACTCTCATAACTCCTTCAAATGTTGGTAAATTTAACTTTGTAACAGCCTTCTAAGTTGAAGTAGTGCTATTATCATATTTTACACACAGGGAAGAACTAAAGGCAGGTAATGTGTCTGGGGCTGTCAGTAGTTGTTTGTTAATTTTTTTATGTTGTGGAGGCTGGCAGGTTGTTTTCAAGCAGGGAGTAGTGGATTTAATACAGTGTGCATGCACCAGCACCTAAGAAACAAGACCATAACCATTCGTGCTCAGGTTTGATTTTAAATCCTCTGTGGATCTTTAAGCACTAGAGGTAGTGGGTTACTTGCAATCTATACAGCTTTGGTGTGCACTTACACCTGGGAGAAACTAATCTCAGAAATATCTGTGTATCCTGCTTTATGACAGATAGAGGAACTTTGGGAAATTTTTCAATATTGAACCTTTAAAAAGGAAGTTATGAACAGTTTAATTTTGCCCATACTTCACAGAACATGATTATTTTCCTGAGTAGAGCAGCTGAAGGGGCTTTTCCAGCTGTGGTGGGACTATAGCCAATGTCTGCATGCTCAGAATTGGAGATGTCACATGTTCCTCCCTAACTCTCCACACCCCACCTTTCTTCATTATCCATTCCTATCAATGGAAGGAAGCCCTCCTAGAGGTGGCACATCACCAGGAGCAATGTGAGGGTCCTCTTTAGAGTGCTAGGGGAAGGATTACACCACCTGACAGTCCTACAGCCTGTAGGAGCTGAGGGATGGGATCAGAAAGTTTATCCTCTCCTCCAGAGCCAGGAGCATGAATTATCACAGCATTGCCTGTGAGAGCAAAGAGACAGCAGAGAGAAGCTGTGTGTTTGCTGGGCATTGGCCAGCCTCTTAGCAGCAGCTCTGACATGAATTATAAAGCACTGCAGGAATTTTCCCAAGTACAACTTAATCTCTGTAAAGCATATCCCATTGAGCACTCGGATTGGGAAAGTGTTTATTGCAGACACTTTGGTTATTCTGCTTCATCTGATGCCCATTTTGTCCTTCTGTGTCCTTTGGTAATATTTGTTCCAGATTGTTGTGTTTTAAGGCATTTTTCTTTCTTTTATGGTGTGTTGTGCACTGTTAAAATCAATACCACTTTGGGTTTCTTTTGTGGAAAACATTTTTCCCCTCTTACCACACATTTTTAGTAGGTGCTGTATTTAAAGAGGTCTGTGCAAATGTTCATACATTTGCTACAGTAAGTGTTGGTCAAACTATGTCTGTGAAAATCTCAGAGGTAAATTTGCAGAGAAGTAAAGTCTTAAAGTCAGCTCAGGATGCAGACAGAACGAAGATGGAGAGACTGCTAATTTTGCCACCTTAAGAGACAGTCAAATAAAAATTGTCAAAAGTGTAAACTAATTTGGAAGATCTTGCCTTCTTTTCTCAGTGTTTTTTAGATGGTTGTATCTATGCAACCAAAGCCATCTCTTCCCAGGAATGCTTCTGAGAGAAAACAGGTTAGTGAGTCCTGAGCAAACTGGCCACATTTACAATGTTACAAATCTGTGTTGGTCCAAAGTTTTTGCTCCACTTTGCCATTTTGAATCAATAACAGACAAGTTGAGAACCCCCCAAAAAGTAAGGCAAGCAGAATGGCTGCCTGTGATATTTCAGTTGGAGTGATTGGCCCAGTGTCACACAAACACTGCGTGTCAGAGGTGGTAAATCCACTTCTCCTAGGCAGTGTTTATCTGCTTTAATTTCAAAATCATCCTTCCTTTTCTGAAACTCCTGGCAGTCCCTTGCCTCATAACTTCTGGATGAAATGAAATGCTTGCACCAAGGTGTTTTTAGTAGCAATGCAAATCCATCTGAAGAGAAGTACTCCTCTTCATCAGGTAGGTTCACATCCTCCAAGAAAAACAGAACATAACTCAGAAGTTCAACAGAGTGTTTTAACACGTATCAGAAACTGAAGAAAGGTGGTGGGTATAACTAATTATGGTTATTCCTGATTGTTGAAATATTAATTCAGCATCTTAAGCATTCCCCTAAAACATACTACAAGAGCACGAAGGATAGGACAACAAGGAATGGCTTTAAACTGAAAGCAGGCAGGTTTAGTTTAGATATCAGGAAGAAATTCTTTACTGTGAGGGTGGTGAGGTATCAGAACAGGTTGCCTGGAGAAGCTGTGAATGCCCCATCCTTGGGAATGCTCAAGGCCAAATTGGATGCAACTTTGAGTGACTTTGACTAGTGAAAGGTGTCCCTGCTCATCGCAGAGGGGTTGGACTAGATGACCTCTGAAAGGTCCCTTCCAACTCAAACTATTCTATGATTCTATGAAATGACAGAAATGCTGATGGACTAATTGATTGATAAGAAATCTTCCTCAGGAGGGATCAATCTTACATAAAAAAAATCATGAGTCAATAAACTGAGACACATTATGAAAACTGAGAAAATCTTCTTTTCCAATCACTTGAAATCTTTCTATAAAATGTGTTGGTGATGTCAATCTTGAAGAGAGAGATCAACAGCAAAATGGTGCTCTGTTTAAAAACCACAGTTTTGAAATCAGAACTCATGATTGTGTTTCTGAAGGACTTCTACCTTTTAATCATGAATGTTTGTATAAGAAATAGCTGAATTTGTCCTGGTGAAGTGGCTTCAGTTTCTCTCTCACTGTTTAAGAAGCCACAGATATTCACAAACATTAAACTGTCATTTTAAGTTCCCTTGATTGTAGAGCAGGAACATTGTGCAGCTCAGTCTGGTAAAGCTTGAACTACACCCATCTGCTTTATTTTTGTTTATTTACATACCTAAGAAGTGTCATTCAGTGAATAATATCAGCCTAATGTTATAATAATTTTTAGGATGAATCATAATGAATTGCTTTTGTATTTGTTATTTGACATGTGAAAACGGTATTAATTCTCCTCCATGTGAAAATATATGTTAAGAAAAACCCATATATTGTTAAACCATGTCTTCTACCCCATTATCC